TGCAATATGAAAATAATTGAAGACAAAATGTGTTTTACTGAGAAAAAACAAGATTTGGTTTTTAAAAAGCCTTTTTCCAAAAGGTACATCTGGAAAAAGGGGGGTCGTCTTATAATCAGGGTCGTCTTATATTCGGGCCAATACGGTACATTCCGTGACACAAAAACAGTATTATTTAAAAAATTATAGTGGATTTGGGTGTCTGCCATGACACTCGCTGTGAGAAATACCACAATACAATGATGCAAATGGTGAAACGGTTGGAGTGTTATTATCACTAGAATATCGCACGGCTGGCAAAGGCTCTCAGCCAATCAGATTCAAGAACCACTTCTATTATGATTACAAATTATAATGGCTAAATATTAATTGAAAATATCAAAAAAAAAGGAAAAAAGACCCAATATGTTTATGTGTTTTGTGCTTATTAGGCTATAATATTGTTAAGTTGCAACATGCTATTGTAAAAGCTAGTTGCATTTCTCATTCCCCAGAAGACTAATTAATATAATATAATATAATATAATATAAATTCAGTAAATTTGTTTGTACTCTGTTTTCTACTTATGTGTCAGAAGAAAGAAAAGCACATATATATAAAATATATTATCACTTTTAGGAAAGTTAGGTTATGCTACATACAATCTTTGAATGAATCTCTGAGATTCTAGTCAACTGCAGCAATAACGATTAAGTTAATAGCAGATGAGGTTGTGTGTGTTTCAGGGGTTGACCTCTCACCTCTGCTGAGCAGCTGTAGGTTACGCACTTCCTCTCTGACCTGTAGCTGTAGGACCTGCTGCAGGACTTCCTGTCTCAGTGTCTCTTGGATTATACCCATCCTCTCCAGCTTCTCTCCGTTCAACCGCAACAGGGCACGACCTGAAAAAAGTGTGTGAGAGGCAGGATGAATGACAGTTTAAAAAGTCAATGCCAGCTTTGTAAAATAGCGAGACGGAACAGCAAAGGATTATATCCAAAGAAAATTTGATCAGTAGTATGGAATTGGTTTACATTTGTTTAAATCCCCACAGAAGCCATCAAATTAATGTCACAAGTCTTGCCAACAGAACAAGATGTCCTGCTGCTTTCTGAATATGAAACCAGTAACCAGAGATTTAATAAGACTTTCCCTTTGTGCTGTACAATTTTAGCTTTGCTGCTTTCCAAAACAACTCATTTTGGGCAACATATCCTTTTTGGATAAGGCAATACATTGTCATAGGTTATGTGAAAAAAAAAATCATCCAAGGTGGTGGATACAGTGTCAACTAGAAAAAAACAGAAACATATTTATTCATATAGCACCCAAAATGCAGTTCCAAAAAATAAAAGGAATTTACAAAATACATAAGAAAAAATATCAACAGTAAAAAAGCAACAAAAGGAATATAAATAAAAATATTTGCAAACCTATTGTAAAAAAATCTTAGTCTAATTAAAATGGTCTAATTAAAAACAGGATATACACTAGCCAAAATTATATACAAACTGTAAATTCTAAAAAATAATATACTAAAAGCAGAACTGCATGTATACTGGATATGACATTTCCAAAATAGATTGATATAAGCTTTGTGTGTGTGTGTGTGTTTTCAAACATAAAATGCAGCTCAAGGTGTCTAAGGTCAGAATCATTTAAAAACAAATGGAAACTAACAAAAATAAAGAAACAAAAGTAAAATACAACAAAATAAAAATTTAAGGTTTACATACACATTTATAAATATATATATATTAAAAAAGTTCTGTCTAATGAAAATGGTCTAAATAAAAAACAGCACAGACTAATTAATCAAAATTAAATTTTTACATTTTACCCAGTGTTTGTGTGTGCAAGGTATTTTTTGCTTATTTGGCTACAATATTGGTAGCTACGTTGCAACATGCTAAAACTTTACTGAAATCAATTGTGATTTGCATCTCTCATTTCACGTCCCTTGAGAAGTGACATTTCTGTGGCTCATGGAGCCAATGTAGAGCTGTACAAATCTCTTATGAGGATCCATTTCAGAATGCTAACTCAGAAGGCAGCATCCTATGTAGGCAGTAGACAGCAAAGCAGCTTACTAGTTTTGCAACAGAGAGTTTATTTACCTCAGCAGTCAGACAGACCGGCATAAAGCCTGCATGTACCTCACTGTCAGAGTCCTGTCCTTCAAAAAACATCACAAAGCAGGGGAATTTATTGTCATTTGCCCCGAATGCGCTGGCTCTAATAATAAATTAGAGAATAAATCATCTCATTCTCTCTTACAATATAATCATCCATCCTCATTCTCACCTGGCAAGTACACAGACACTCCCTCAGAAGAATGCCACGCATACAGTTTACGTAACCAGAGTCTATTTTAGGCCACATTAATGAATGTGTTCAATTTCCGCACATATTGCTTTGTGTAATGATTACTAATGAAGTCGGGTTACGTAAGGCCCATTGTGTGACCTTGGATGAGTGTATTGATTTGTGTGGTGTGTGTCCAGAAACATCAGCGCTGGACAGCTATTCCCTTCCGTAAATGAAACATAATGACCTTAATAACAGCTGGCTGTGGCTATTTCTCTGATGATGTAGTGGAATTGGAGAGATGAGTGCAGTGTGGTTTGGGGGTTCAGGGATTGGATGGCGATGATTACAGTTTTACAGATCGTTTACAGAACTTCATGAGCTGTCCCTTGAGAGAAACCACTAGCTGCCGTTTAATTACTTTCTCATAAGTGAGATTCGGTTACAGAAACTTCTATAAGTTCAGACATGGTGAACAAAATGACTCCTCTTGGTTAGTCAGTGGTTAGAGGCAGAAAGGTTGACTATATTTCAAGTCAGTTAAAAATAGCATGACAAGCGTAGTTTTCTTTTGTTTGCTGACATATTTCCAATTTAAACAGGAAGTTTGGTTAAAAGCCTATATACTGTAGATATTTGGGTTACATACTGTAGGCTCATAGGAAAAACATGCCTCTATCCACCTTTTTCTGGAGCGGTGCTTTACATTTCCGGTTTCTGGTGTTTCTAGTCAAATTAACATTTTCCAAGCCGATAATATAACGTTAAACCATGTGCACATTTTTATAGGTGATAAGGTGGATACCTAAGTATTTGCAAAAAAATTTACCAATACATACAATTCGCTGCATTGTTTCAATCTGCAATGAACACTAGTGGCAGTAAAACACCAACAACTTTATTCCTTTTCTCACAAATTATGATTACAGGGTATATCATTGATTAATAAACCGCTATTTGCATGCAGTTCCTTGCATAGTACTATGTTATGACCTCAAAATACTTTTTACCATAGTGCATGATTTGTAAACTCAAACATTTTGAAGTCTGCATCACATATCAGCTCCATATTGTGTGGCTTTTCTGATGAAGTAAACTTGCTCAGTAGTGCACCTGGTACAGCATTACATTTATGAGTCCAGAGTTACGAGTCCTCGAATACAAGTCTGGTGAATCACAAGTCATGATAAAGAGTTTGAAAACATGTAAAAGCAAGCTAAATCGCCATGGTTGCATCAGCAAATGTGATTTTATCTCACGTTTTCTTGTATTAATGCTATAGGTTAGGTTTAGTGTGGATGCTACTAGGGCTATCAAAATGGCTTAACTCAATTTGAATTTTGTAACTAAATATGATCAATATTTTAATTATATTTTATTTTAAAAGGCATAGTTTCAGTTAAGGGAAAAAGCTTTTGGTAATAATTCTCTCCATTAGCAAAATATTGCTAATGCACGTTTATTCAAAGCAATAAAATAGCATGACTACCTGTGAAAAAAAGTGCATAATGTTTACAATAATGTTTAAAATAATGTTCACACACAGAGTACTTTTTTTATTTAAAAACATGAGAAACAGTGGGATGGGGGGAAAAAACCCCGCCATAAAGTTGAACTTACATTAATTTTACATGGCTTTCTAAACATGCAGCTCTCTTGTGTGCGATGCGAGTGCAACTGTGATAGATGTGCCTCTAGAAAATGTGCAAAATATGCTTTCAGTGTGAACAGCTTGGTTTCAGTTTTGACGTAAACAAGATCTTCTCCAAATTGATGTTCTCTTTTTTCTGCAATATTTTGAATAAACAACGCAGCAGCGCCGCGTCTAGTGGGTTCAACAGGATAGGCTAACAAAAACATTAAAATGCATCACTTAAATCATCAAAGCATCTTGTGCGCCACTGATAAGGCTGCCTTAACACACTACTAAAATTCAAATGCTATGTTTTTGCATTAAAATGTGGATTTTTATTTTAAATTTGACGAATATTCAAAATTATAATTTTATTTGGCAGCCCTATGTAACGCGTATATTATTTTGAAAGGAGATTATTTTTAGGAGACTTTTATTTTGGCGAGTGATCCGTTTTTTTACGCGTGGCGTAAGTGCAGCAGAGAGAGACGAAGAGTGCGGTGTATGAGTGTGTCGCACACAGAAGTGAGTGCAGTGTCGTGATCGAGAAGCTTGTTCGATAAAGTTGCTTCAACGGAAAATTATCGAGGCTTGAGTCGAATAAAGGACGACAGCACTAAGTGAAAGTGTGGACAGTGGCAAACGTTTCGTAGTGAAGAAGAGCTTTTTTCCAGTTTTGTTCTCGTGGTATGTGTTGGCTGTTAGAATGATGCAGTAACATATCGTGAAGGCCACGGAAGCTGTGAGTACGTTTAAAGTCCAAACCCCACTTGATTTTTGTCATCAAGAGACTCGTTACATGTCTTTTTGCTGCATTTTGCACTTCTCGTGTTTTGATTGAAAGGCAGCGCCAAGAGCTAACATTTCAACGGGACTGTTCATGTGTAATTGAGTTTCCCGCACGTGTCAGAGCACGTGGGACCGAGACCACTGTATAATGCAGTTAAAAAAAACACTTTAGAAAACTGAGTCGGGCCGAGTACCAAAACAAACTTGTAGCCAATCAGCAGTAAGGGGCGTGTCTACTCATGATGCGGAGGAGAGAGCGTTCAAAGTCTGTCCGAAAAGTAAGACAATGTTTAATACAGCAGATAATAACACAGCAGATTCCACCATAATTGTTGTCTGGGTTGCGTACGTATGTGTGGGGCGGAGTTATCAAAATAGGGGCAAGACACTTTTGGGGTAGGGGCGTGTTTGTTTCGGTGATTTGAAATATCAACATTGGCTACCAGAAATCACTTACCCCACCTTTAATACAGAGACGTAACTTTTTTCCCGCTGATTCAAGTTTGAAGATTGTGTTGCTACCAGTGTTGGGGATAACGCATTACAAGTAACGTGAGTTATGTAATCAGATTACTTTTTTCAAGTAACTAGTAAAGTAACGCATTACTTTTTTAACTTACAAGAAAATATCTGAGTTACTTTTTCAAAAAAGTAACGCCAGTTACTTTGTTTTCCCATTTATTGCCTGGCAAGTCTCCTGTCCCCATATTGGGAGAAATCGGAAGTGCAGAGGAGTTGTGTGCGCTGTGTGAACATGATGTTACTGTAGTTCTAGACTAAATGTGAATGTGCATTAATTCATCCCACTCACAAAAAACAGATTTAGAAATGCAAACTCAGAATATGACGCAAACCTGCAATAATTAAATATGTTAAATAACACAAATGTATCTAATCCCATTTTATTAACCAAATTCTTTGCTCATAAAAAGTAACTAAGTAACATAATTAGTTACTTTTTTAGAGAGTAACGCAATATTATAATGCATTACTTTGAAAAGTAATTTTCCCCAACACTGGTTGCTACCCTGCCATCCAAGTGACATCTCAGTTTGATTAATCCCAGTTTGAACATCCTTTTTGAGACAGTCTTGTAAAAATATCCCACAGATACAGGTGCATCTCAATAAATTAGAATGTCGTGGAAAAGTTCAATTTTTGAACTTACACACT